ACATGTAAAAGGGCAGATTGAAATTCCGTTGCAAACACCTCGAAAATAATTAATAAAGTTCCGTAAAATTGTACCAAAGTCTTACACACACGAACGAGCCGAGACGGAAACGTCCGAGCTTTGGCTACTACAAACCCACGGTAGACTGTTGCCGCACAGCTGGATCTCCTCCACTCGGCCAGTCTCGTCGTTTCGTGGAACCCCCATCCCGCCACCGCCCGCGCTGGCCCAACTTTGGTACAATTTTACGGAACTTTATTAATTATTTTCGAGGTGTTTGCAACGGAATTTCAATCTGCCCTTTTACATGTGTTGTAGGGCGACATTGTACTTTATGAAAACAAAATTGGGAGACGTAAAACTATGACTTGAAAATATTTATTAAAAAAATCATTATTATTAATTCTGCCACCATGTTAACAACAACCTACGTGTTTGCCTGTTTAAAGCAACAATTTAATAGAACAGTCGAGCAAATCTGAGTTGGAACAGACCATATAACGATGACTTGAAAAATCGCGATTTTCACCTGAGCCAGGTGCTTGAACACAACGGCTTTGGGCTGGCAGACTCACGGGTTACTTGAGACGAACCCCATACCTATCGCTCAGCGAATTTTGAGCCATATAAGAGACGCTTAGTGAAATATGTCGCCAGCTTGTATACGAAAATTTTCAGGTGACTCCTCTATTTCGTAATTTTCAGTCGATTCATGATGGTGATTATTAAAATTATCGTCTAACAAATTTTCTTCAAAATAATAAGTTTGATCGGGTTCAGGGGGAGTGCAGTTTTCCTCTACATTGAAAAGTTCTTCAGATGTAAAATTCTTAGAAGTGTTGGTTTCGGTTGGGACGGTTTACCGAATACCTGTGAATTAGGGTAGAGGTGCCAGATGTGGCCACTTTAAGGCAAGAGCTAACTTTAATATTTTTTACGCGTTTGTCAAGTAAAATTGAATACACAACAACTATTTCATATACTTGTTTCATGTTTTCCAAATTGAATTACATAGGATAGAGATAGATAGCACGCTATAGTTTATTACACAAATTAAAAAAAGCGTAAACTTTCAACATCTACCAGTTATGGCCACGAAATCACCAGTTTTGGCCCCATACCTACTTATAGCACTATTTGTTTTGTTTGGCCAGTACCTATAGGTAATTACCTGGTTAGGAAGTGGAAAAACGAAATTTTTGTAAAGTGTATTATATATTATGCATAAACCAACTTATACGTACTTTCTCTTTTAACATAACATTAACATAAAAACTAAAAAAGGAACTTATGTGTAGTACTTTATAATTTCTGGCACAGAATAAATACGATTATTTTTTTTATTGCTGCATTAATAACTTCTTTAACTGCATCAATATCATAAAGTAATAAGTCATCCTTCTCTGGCCATTCCCAGCCCACTCCGCTCGGAGACATTGCAGAAACAAGGTATTGGTCTTTTTCCCTTCTTACTACCTTTCCTGGATAAAAATATTCATTGTATTCGACTATTACAAACGTACCCTGATCTAGGTTTTTAATATCTGCTTTTTGGATTGTCCTATTTTCTTTTTCCTTTTCTATCATTTTTTTTGTGGCATTTGTCTTGTCTTGTGTACCTTTTCCTCCCTCTTCCTTTTCCGTGCTTCTTTCTGTTCCTCTTTTTCTAATTTTTCCTTCTCCTTTTTTTCTTCACGCTCAAGCCATTTATCTGAAGTTAATACACTTATCATTGGCTCTTTGGTTTTAAACTTACCACTATTTGTAGGGGTGTTTGGCAGAATGAGTATATCACTAAGGATGTTTATTTTCTTGTTTTGAGCATCTTCGCTTGTAGTGTTACTTGATACTTTTTTTCCTCAGTTGTTTCATCGTTCTTCTTCTGCTTCTCATTATCGATTAAATTTAAGCTTGAATCTAAATGGCACCTGTCAGGTTTGTGATGAGAGTCATTTTCTATTTTTGTCGACTCTTGTTCATTAATCCTTTCACTTGAACCTTCCTTCCTATACTTGCTTTTTAACGCCATGGTATTTTCTTCTAATATATGTACTTCGACATGGACACTGCTTTGTTTCTCTGTTTCATTGGTTTTTTCCTCTAATTCCCTCTTTTCGTTCTTACTTAAGCCTTTGAATATAAAATTAGGAAGAAGTCTAGCCTAATGGGAACTTGTGGTTCCGTGATAATCGGGGGAGAGGTAAGGTGTACCTCTCCCACTTTTATAATAATATAAATCGGTTTTAGAGCGAATTTATGCTCCGAATTGCGTTTGCACTGAAGATTTCAATACTGTAATCTTTTGTTGGTACG